GATCACTAGCTAGCTAAGCGTTTGTCTGAAGGCTGGTTTTGGTTCCTAAATATATCTCTTAGTTTGGACGATCAATTATTAGCTTTTGCTTTGTCTTTGGTACGCGAGAATAAATTAATTAGAAGTTGTTGAACGAGATATCCGTCAAACCTTTAAAGCATTAACAACCAGTACTACTCTATTTGGATTGTTCAAGTATAAGTTCTTGCCTTTTGGTTTAAAGATTTCACTTGCAATATTTCAAAATGTAAAAAATCAGATGATAGTTGGATTAGATGGTGTTGATTCATACCAAGACGACATTTTAGTTCATGGTCCTAATGTCGAATTGCATAATGAACTTCTTTTAAAACTGTACAGGCGTTTCTGTGGGAAAAATGTTCTTGTTAATCCATCTAAATGTCATCTCACCTTGACGTCTGTATCATGCTTGGGATACACAGCAGACTCCGAAGGTTTTCAGACCTGTTGCTAGTCGTTTGGCACCTGTAATTCAAGCACCGTCACCTAATAATATGTCATCGTTGAGTCATGGACAGGTACTCTTCAGTTTTACTCCAGATTCATTCCCAATTGCACTCAACGGTTATCTCCACTTTTTGAGATTGTCTCCAGTAATTAATTTAAGTGGGAACAACATGAGAATATCTTGCGAAAAACTTTGGAGTTTCTTAATAAACAAGCTTTCTTAAGACCTTTTTCATTGAAAGATAAGCCCGTCCTCATTACAGATGCTTCTCATGTAGGCATAGCTGCAGTACTTGTAAAAAATGGACAACCTGTTATTTGAACTTCACGACGCATAACTAAGAGTGAGCAAGGGTATTAACAAACCCATATAGAGGCCCTAGCAGTTGTATGGAAAATAAGACGCTTTCACAAGTATCTCTTTGGTACTAAGTTTCACACAGTTACTGATCATCAGGCCTTAATATTAACTTACAATCTAGACAAATTTCGAATAGGTCATCTGTTGATATAGATCAAAGATGGAATTTAGAACTAAGTCCATACGATTACACTACTGAACACAAATCGGCTAAGCATATACCTCATACAGACTTCATATCTCGTTATTCATTGTTTGGAAATTCTTCTTCTTATGACACTGATTTTTTCTTAGTCCAGCCGTTACCTGTAGATAGAGTTCGACTTGTACACCATATTCGGAAACATTATGGTAGCATTATAAATGCAACAGGAAGAGGTCGGAATATTCAGTGTAAGTGAATATTTCCGTACTTCTATAAGCAAAGAGATGAGATTTCAGTCCATCTTGAAGGATTCCTGTGTCTGAATGACAGTGTAGTGCACATTGAACTCTTGAACTTTTGTTTTAAACTCGCTCACCCATCGTTTTGGCTCACCTTCATCTTTTGAGTTGTGACTCTTCCGTACGTTCCTTGGTTTGCTTTCTCGTTGTGCATTCATTCAGCACACTCTCCGAGCCTACCACCAGTGACGTCAACAGATAAGTTGTATAACCTCTTTATTCATCAAACTTCATATTTCATTTGTATAAAATATAACTGTCCCAGATACACTTGTTATCTCAAGTCTTTTTACCTTGATTCCGTTCGTCAGAACTTGCACGTTAAGCAGAGTACAGCTAAGGTCATGAAGCGGTGAAGAAGTTTTGTAAGAGCGTTTAGAATTGAGGTCTACCCTAAGCTGGAATAACTCTTACAACAGGATTATTATTCCTCCAACATTAAAGTCTGTGATTTTAGATTACCTTCATTCTGCTCAAGTTGGAATCTCCTAATGTTCTGTTGGCCGAAAATTCATCCTGACATTATCAAAAAAACGAAGAGACATCATAGGTGTTTGCATAAAATATACTACGAATAATTATTGTGAAAACCATGGCCCGCGTCTTGCGATATTTGGCAGCGTATTGCAGCGGTGGGTAATTATAAGGCACAGTATTAATAACTGAACATTGGGTGCTGACAATCACAGTTTAAGCCGATTTGTTTAGCTGGAGATTTACGGTCAGGCATCCACGTCATTCGGCATGGGGTCGTGCTAAGTTCTTTCGTTAGCGCATGATTCCTAGCTGGTTAAGCAATCATCTCATATTCCGATCCGGTCCCAAAATATACTTCGTAATTTAGATGATCAATTCCGGTTGTTTTGCTTTGACTTAGGTCCACGTGGAACGAATACTATCGAAGTTACTGCTTTAAGATCTTGCGTTAGTATGCTCCGTACAATCCGCGAACGTCAATACCGTCAGCCTCTTAAATGTTCTTAAAGCAATCCTCTAAAGAGAAACGATCTCACGGATAGGCAGCGTCTTGACAAACTATTTCGCAACGTGGGGTCACGTGATCAGTTGGCTGTGAACATGCCAACGAGAATGTCGGAAATAATCGGACAACGTCGGTTCGATGGAGAACTCTAAAAATAGCTGTTCTAATCAAAATTGCCACATTCGGTACAGGGTGTGCTTGTAACAAATCGAAGTGTTATTATAGACGAATTAGCTAATTCTGCATATAAAATTCTAGAAATAACACAACGGCCAAGCACTGGAATGTGCTCAATCGCTAAACAGACTTCGAGTAGGGACACTGCTGCGATAGAATTAGGCAACTCTGTCAAGCAACTACTCAGGCCAAATAGTCCCTGTATTTCCTCCTACCCTTGACCGAACTCCCCTCGACGATGACACCCGCTTGGTGAGTCAAAATCTAAACAACGCTCACTAAAAACCCGAAATGATTTTAGCATCACAGTACCAGGGAGCAAAATATTGTCGAAAACCTCTCAATTTTGGCAATGACCCTAGGATTATGGGAAACTATCCCGCCGGTGGTAGTAGCCGCCTGCTATACATTCGTGATGTAGTCAACCAGCTGCAATACTTGGCTGGCATGGGCACAGAGGTCAGTTTCCTTCCTGTTACAATAGCAGATCAACAGAAGGAGGCTACCTTCAACCTAAATGCTGCGGATGGTAAACCTGTTGCAACCTTGGTAGGAAATGTCTATTTGAAAGTAGACATGAGGAAAACTAATCCTCCTTGCTGATATTAAGATGCCTGTCACTGATATGTACCTACTCAAACGTCATGGTCTGCTCGTAGATGTCCTCCGAAAACGACTGATAGATGGTACAATTAGACTGTCTATTGAAGGTATCACCTATGGAGGCCAAGGTTTGTCAATGGTTAAGAAGAGGCGGTCTTGGGCCGACATTTCAGTCTATTGTTAACAAGTACCCGGAACTTAATTACCCACCTAACCACCTACCGTGCATAACCAGCAGTGTCATGCATCACATCACAACCTCAAGTCGACCCTTGACATCTAAAGCAGGACGACTCGCTCCTGATGGATTACGACTGGAGAGAAGTGGATTCGACTATGTGCTCACCCATGTCATCATTCGGCCATCGAATAGCCCACGGGCATCTCCACTTCATATGGTATCCAAAAAGGATACCAATGATTGGCGACAAGAAGAGGAGCCAAACATGAGGAAACACCTTTGCAATTTAGCGGCTTGGTAAGTTATTACTGACGATTTATTCCTATATGTGACTCCCTTCTACTAGGAAATAACAAGTCCATCGAAATCGACTCGTCCGCTAAAAATGCTCTCATTCAGATTAAAAAAGCTATCACGAATACAACCCTTTGCATCAGGATCCAGCAGCAGCGTTAAATATTTCAGTCTATGGGCCGGCTCAGAACTGCAACAACTAGTCAACAAACTGTGTCAACTGCTCGCCCTTTCTCTAGGCGTCTATTACTAGCCGAAACCAAGCACAGTACACTCGGCAAAGAACTTCTGGCTGTGTTTTGTGCTATACCCCACTTCCAACATTATGTGGAGGGTAGTGAATTCACAATTTTCACCGACCACAAACCTCCAGCGTACTACCTGAACTCAACTTCAGATAAGTATTCACCTAGAGAATCATGACAAATGAAATACGTTTCACAGTTTACATCGGACATTCGCGATTTATCCAGAGTGGACAACCCTGTGGTAGATGCCTCATCGTACATTTATCTCCTAGTCTTAAAAGATATCATAGACCTTGTAAAACTGACTCGTCTTCAAAAAACGATACCCAGCATCAACATGAGCAGTCGAAAGCAACTCTACATTTAACCGAGGAACTGTTAGGCATAGCAAGAGGCACTATTCCTTTGTGACATTTTCAAGAACCTTAAAGTCCTCATAACCCCACAAGGGGGATGCCATCATGTTATGTTCTTTCGTTTATGCATGATCCCTGGCTAGTTAAGCAGTCATCTCACATTCCGATTCGTTCCGAAATATACTTCGTAATCTGAACGTTTAATTCTGGTATTTAGCTTCGTCTTTGGTTTAGGCGGAATGAATACTGTAGAACCTGTGTTTATAAGAACTTGCTCTAGTATATTTCGTAGCGTCCGTGAACGTCAACACACTCAGCCTCTCAAAATCCAAGGATTTTCTTGCCGTCACAACAATCCACCGGAAAATATCTGCCGGACTTTTAATATTCAGCTGTCATTTTCCTACGTATTCATCATAACGTTACCTTGTTTCGTCTACTCTTGGTTTCACATGTCCCACATTTATTTCATCATGTACCACTTCAGTGATGTCATCTCAAATTCTTAAATCTTTAAAAATCACCTCATTATCTAGTTGCTTTCAAACTATCATAAGAGGTTCTTGGTAAAATGATAATTTTGAGTCCCGATGCCAACATTTTTGTGGATCCTGCATCCTTTACAAAATAAACTGAAACTGCCTCATACATAATTTGATAGCACTATAGAATCGAAGGTAAATAATCTCTATGTGACAGAATCGTTCGGAGCTGTAAAAGAGTTGCTAAGCACATGGAATATGGTGAAAAAACTTTGAGGATTTATTAAATAGTAAGAAAGACATTAAACATTGAATTACATTGTACATTGAACTTTTGTTTTAACTCGTCGGCATCCCATACATTCCGTCTGTAGAACCTGTGGCAGTTTGGTTCGTGTCATAAGATGGTGAAGTCTTGGATTTTAGTCTTATTTACATGTTTTCAATTCGCATCCACTGCTTTCGGTTTGTCAAGTTATTATCTAAGGTTATCTCCAGGTCAAAATATATGGGCCGAAGTAAACTCAAATGTTACGTTCTGTTGCAACATGTCCTTTGGAGGTAAGTCTCAATCGTGTCATTCTTCAGAGGTTTGACTCGTAATTTAATTTGAATTTTTGATATTTCTGCCTGATTCTGAACTAGCTTTATGAAATTAAAGCAGCAAACAATGCATCGACCGCTCATTTTCCGTGTGGCTTAATTTCATTCCAACTAGTACTTCCTCTAGGTCCACTGCAGAAATTCTGGGCAAAACTCGAGGCGCATTGCAGAAAATGGGACAGTTAACTGCAGTAGTACTGTGGTGTCTAGAATGCGTCCTGAGTCTGTCCTGGATTGTTTGCAGTGTTTTCGAAGTTTGCCTCTAAAATCTGAACAAATCTCGAAGTGTGTCCCAATGTTCTGAAGTGCATCCCGAGTGTCCCCTGATGTTCTTACAAAGCGCCTAGTGTGCATGCTAGCTGAGATGTCAGAATTTCAGGCGTTTTTTGTTGGTCTCCACTTTCTCTGAGTCCTCAAGACTAGCGTAACTTGTTGTATGGGTTCTATTACACAGATGACGCCCGATATCAAGACATTGGTTAGACTCCTTGCAGGCGAATGAAAAATATTGGTTAGTGTTTTCATAGTTGCCAGTAAGGTACATTGTTTTAAAACGTCCCAAAATCTACTATAGGTGTTGGTATTTTGAAGAACATTAGATAGGTTCCTTTAACTACTAAAGTAGCCTATTTTTGCCCTAGGAACTGAAGTGTTTATCATTTTGATTCATCAAGCTTTTAGACATTTTGATTGTTTGGCTAAAAGCTGTTATTACAGCTGTATGTTAATGCTTATTCTCTTCATGATTCTACAAAGTTAAGATGGTATTATGACTGAATTGTTGCTGTCCAAATAGTCGTATAGATGTCACAATTGGATTTCATTCATATCTCTCCATAAGTATTCTGCTTGTCCTCACCTATGTTTGTAACGTAAGCTTTTCTTTTGTATCTAATACCATTGATGAAAGGCAAACGGCTTTGCGAGAAACCTAACCGGTTTACTTATTCAGAGTAATGTATTGGCAGCTGGTAACAACCTACACATTTAACAAAGGTCCGGTTCTCAGTGAATACCATCTAATGACTAATAACTCACGATGAAGGCGACACTGATTTACTGCTTCATAACGCTGCAAAAGGTTGAAGCTAGACTTATAGTATGCGAAATAGAAATACTGCCAGCCTCTGAGATCGAAGTAGTTGGAGGAGAGTCCGAAACTGAACTGGAAGTTACCAAGCAAAGTAAATGGGTGACATAAAGGGCTAAGATTCATCCGATGACATTTCAACCTTTTGTATTATAGTATATTTGCAGGCAATGTTCATAGTCACTTAGTCTCAGAACTCTACCAATGTTTTCATCGTCCATGGAAATTTCAGAACTGTAGGGATAAGTAACTGAATGTTTCCAACAAAAACTAGTGTTTGAATACACTCACAAACATTGCATCATAAACTGTCTCCTACTTTCCTACATCTACTATACATTATATATGTTTCTTGACTATCTCTTTAATTCAGTTGACCCGTTATTTTGTTTCACAACGTAATGAATACAAACTTACATTTTAATACTTATTCCCCAGTTGCTTATGGGTAGGCGTCTTGGTTAGTTTAATCGGTGCAGCTTATAATAAGTTATGCACGTCAAATATCGCCTATAAACATTTTTGTAAAAGACTAGCTTGTAGCACATAATCTATGCAACTTCACAAAGCCAACATAACTGAATGGGATGTGGGTTTTAAAGTTTGAATACGACAGGTTTTGGAGAGTTGGAAGATTTAACGAGTACTAAGTAGTTGAATAATAATTTTTATCTTGAAGAAATCTCAGGAAGATTTGATGTGGAAGTAAACACTTTCAATCAATGCCTTTTCTTAAGTATTTTCTTCATTTATATTTGGTAGTCTGCTCAAGATTGGATTTTCACCGCTATCCTTTCATCCATCGGGCATATCAGCTTTGGTATGCACTCTCACTTTTCTATACATTTATACCTGTAAAAAGATACTGATTTGCTAATGGATATTACAGCTTAAAAATTACTAAAAGCCAAAGGCAAACCTTGATGACTTAGTTGCTAAACTCTTTGAGAAACAACTTTCTAAATTCATTGGTTGTAAGACTTAACTGCGTAGCACTTTTCTCATATCTATCTTGTTCCCATGAAATTTAATATCTTAAACTAATCATGGTAATATAGTTTGTTACTGAAACATTTATTTACAAACAATACTACCGTTTTGTGAGTGAGAAACCGTAATAAATTTAATTCAGAAAGGAATAATGATTTCGTCATGAACTAACATCGGTTAGAGAACTATTTGAAAACCACCTGGGAGTACTTGAAAGCTGTCTTGTCCTAATTTGTGACTCTGCAGCAGTACGCACCCATTTGAGGGATTCGAACCCAGCAGCTTCTGGTTACAAGGCGAGCTCGTAGACTGTTAAGTCAGTGAGACCTGATCCAATGGACAGCCCGTGAATTCCAGCTTCTGCCGATTCACGATATAGCGCGAACACTAGCAAATATCATCGCTGGCAAGTATTTTTCGTAGCCACCCGACCTAGTCTGCGAGGTCGATTTGTAACCGGAAGGTCCTGGGTTTGAAGTCGGTGGGTGAGTGCGCACTGCTGATAATTCCTAATCTAGGATGGAACAGATGTCCAGTACTCCCTGAATTTCCAATGGCTCCTCAATCCGTGGTCAAACTCGTAAAAACAAATATTTCAGCTGTTCATCGAAAGTTCCTTGTGGTTCGATATCTGATCCGTTAAATTTACAAACAAACAATACAGTGGTTATACTGCTGTGGTTCCTTTTCTGGTTCTTTCAGGTTATTTGTCAGTAAAAGTAATTGGGTAATGTAATCTCAGTGCTCAGTATTGCTGAGATATTTGGATGTATCTTATTCAAACGTATATTCCATACATCCTATTTCATTACTTTATCTTACAGAGTCAGAAGCTTTGATGCTCAATGTGAATGACAAACGCATCTCCTCACTATACTTAAAACCAAATTCAGAAGTTGGTAGATTTACAACAAAATCAGCTAGAAATTGGATCGTCGATCAGACAAGAGAAGATGACATCTGTGTTACAAAAGTAAATAATCAAATGTCTGAAGTGGAAATCCGCCACGTATAACTTGTCAAAAGGCTGCAGACAATGGCCTCGGTGAAATCTTGGAGAGAAAGGATATCATTATGAAATTCTATGGTAAAGTTATGACAAAATTTTGATGACAGGTCTTCAAGGTTATACTTGTCACTTGTAATTTTTGCCAGTTATCAGAATTTTATTAAGCCAGTGGTGGCCAAACAAAAACATGGCATCAATCCATGAAATCCTTGACAGTTAAACTGAGTCAGGTAGGGAGATGCAGACTCCCGGGTTGGGGCCCTCGGGACTCTAGGAATCAATGGCTGGAGACAATAGGTGACATGGCTCAAAATCGTTGTCAATGGCGCAGATGTATTCAATCTCTGTAATCTTTCATATTCCTTTCTACCATTACCCATTCTGTTTCACTCTTATATCTGTCAAACTCTATAAATTCTCTTCACTCATCTTCTTGTCTACCTCTGTGCTATTTGGAAGGTGGCAACTCGAACTGCTGCACTTCGGTGCCAAGTTCTATGTTGAATCCAGACAGACAGACAGACATATAATATATATATATATATATATATATATATATATATGATATATATATCATGGTAGAGAACTACTTTTAATTCATTGGTTTAAGACTCTCAGCTTCCACACACCGGATGATGGAATCGCATCCTGCTCTATCTACTGAGGTTTAATTATCCAGGTAGTATCACACTAGCTCTCATACAATAGGTATGACTGTCATTGTTGTAAGTATGAAAATACAAGTGGTCGTTGAGTAACATTTTATTTCAACATTACTCTTCAGTTGTGATAGTTATGTCTCAAATTGTCCACGGGTTTCCAGCTGTTATCAACATATGATCAAAGAATGCTTTTGATCTATTACTCATTTTACGTTGTTTCATATGGAGACTTCGTCAATGACTTCTGTATTACACCTTTTTTCCCTCTTCTCCCATCTGTCCAACATATTACTTGGATTCCAGGCGGAATATAGGGCTCCATTTCCGTCTGCATGTTTATTGGGCAATGTGGTCTTGGTTGGTTCACTGCCATATTGTCTTTTTCAGTGTCGAGCCAGTAGAAGCCTCTGTTGATAAATATAAGTCATTAGTCTGTTAGGAATGCTTTCGGTGATGCATGCTTTAAGTCTCTAAATCATATATATAAGAGCACTGACTGGCTTGGAATTAGTGTTGAAAGTTCATATTTTGTTCCTTATACTGAGTACAGTAGATTTGAAATAACTGAAGGTTTGTCTGGCTTTTCTAATCCTGATTTTGATATTTTCCTCCACGCTGTTTAGGTAAGTAAAAGAGATGGCTTCTACCGGTTGTTGGTGATTTTTGCTCGTTGTGATTGACTGATTGATTGACTAGGTATCTTCATTATCTTTGTCTTCTCGGTGTTCTCTTTCGAACTCCTGTCTTCACTACTTTCTTATACCAATTTTTTACTTTTCATCTATAGACCTTTGAGTTTGTGTAACATTAGACGTAAATCATCCTTGAAGTCCAGATTTTCTACAATCTTTTTATCAACTTAACGTATTATGCCTGTCGGCTCGCTTTCAACAGTTTTGTTTGTTGCACGATATAGTCCGCTACAAGCAGTATGATCATTGTCTTACATAGTAGGCAGTCATATCTCAAAACTTGTCTTCATGTCAAAGTCTTCTTTGAATTTTTCATCGTGAATCACCTGACCATGTGTGGCATCACATCACTTGTCGAATGAGGTTACAATAAGTTTGCTGCAGCACTCCGTGGTGTTGAAGCAGTTTCTGAATTAGTGTGACAATATGCGACAATTCAAAAAGGCAGGCAAAGAGAAACAAAGTGTTTTGTTGTGTGTGTTTGCTGATGCCAAAAAACAACATGAAGTATTTTATATACTTGATTAAATTATTATATCCGATTAACTAATGCTAACTATTTTTTGTATTGTTTTAGAACAAGCTAAAATTATTGGCTTCCCAAAAAGTTTTAAAGCCAGAGAAGGATCTAGTCAGCTGATTGAATGCAAAGCTACAGGTTTTCCTGATTTATACGTGACTTGGAGCTCAAAGGTTAGTTTCACCGCGCCTATATGCACAGTAGTTTGTAACATTTTAGAAATGATGTATTTTTATATTTATGAATTAGTCTGTTCTGACTGACTGCTTTCGGCGTAGAAATTTGCAAAGATTTGCACCAGTTTGACTTGATATACTTCATGTAGCACACAAAGCAAGAGAAAAGAGAGAAACAGAAGTGTGAGTAGGAGAAAAAGAATAGTAGTGTGGAAGAAAAGTAGAGTTTTATTGGATATGACAAATCGCAAAGAGTGAGCGCATCTGCACCCAGCCATTAAGGACCGGTTGTCTCCAGCCGTCTTAGGTTTTCATCCCATCCCGAGGATCCCAACCAGTCAGGAAGTCTACACCTCCCGACGTGATTGGCTTAAACTAACTGTTGTGGATTTTATTGGTTGATGAATCCATGTCTTGCTTTGACCCAGCACTAGCTTTCTCTTTTCCAAACTGGTCTTATGTCAACTAACATTGCCCCTCAAGGCAGGCGATGGCTAGGCATGCGTAACACATTTCCTAACCAACTCAATCAATGCAACTACACAATCTTGTCGATTGATTTTCCCTCCTTGCCTAGCACTTTACGCCTAACCTCAATATTACCCGCTGTACCACCTAACACGGGAGATAGAATGCAGACACCTATGATCAAAGATAACCAGTCAAGCTTTTCATGTCTCCTACTTTCAGTGGCCATGTCTCAGTCGCGGCCATAAAGGAGGATCGGGCAAACTACTGAGTAGTACACACGTCCTTTGGGCGACATCCATATATCATGTCTACGCCAGAAATGGTGTAAGTTGGCGGACAGGCACATGCTAAACGAGCCTTCTGTGCCCATGGGGTAACAGTGTCATTAAACCACCTCCTATTTTGATTATTTTGTCCACTAGAACTTCTTTAGTTCGTTTAATAGTAGGTGTAAAAACAGAAGATCAGTTCAGACTTGTTGCCGTTGAATTTATATTAACACCCTTACCAACTCCTTCTAGACATCGAGTAAATTGTCGCTTAAAACCTAGTCGTCATTGTTTTCGACAATTCTGCTTTTCACAGACACTTAGAAGAGGTATGCTTTAGAATCACAGTATAGTGTCGTGAAAGGTTTTAATTAAGCTCTTTTAATTAGTGGTTACTTCGGCATATATTTAGACTATAATCAAGTGTATCTGGAGTACAGCTTACAGGGATTGAATAAGCACATGACGTGTTTTTATTGGGTAAGTTTTCAACTGATATATCTAGTTAGACGTTGCTTGGTTCACATACCGCTCAACCTACTTCGATCTACCCAGTTGGTGGTAAGCATCATTACCCTTCATAGAGAACAATGAAATCTGTGGTCCCTAGTGTATATATAGATAAATAAATAAGTGGTACAATATGATGAGCGATATGAGAGTTAGGCGAGGAGGGCAGGTCAATCAATGAGGCTGTGAAGCTACATGAGTCGAGATGGCTTAAGACACACGTGTAGCTCCGGCCAAGTTACTGACTTCCTCGAAGAGCAATGTTAGCTGCAAAAGAGTTGGGTTGGAAAAGGGAGTTGGAAGTAGTGGTCAAGTCAAAAGCCTTTGAAAATTAGTTGGAGGCAGCCATATGGGAAAGCTTGACCGTCTGATTAAGGTCCTTTGGGTGCTAAAGTCCAATAGCTCAAAATCGTTCAAAATGTTGGTGCTGATACACTGACTCTTCATGATTTCCTATATCCACTGAAACCAAATTGTTACTATTCTTTCTTCGTCACATTTCTGCTTATTATGGTTCTTTTGCATCACTTCTTTTTTCCTCTACTTTTTTGTGCTACATGGAGTGTAGTAACTTGAACTGCTGGACTTCTGTGCTAAGTTCTATGTTGAAACCCAATCATATATATACATATATATATTCGAAAACTATGGTACCTTTATTTTCGAAATATTCCATGTTGTATTCACGTTTTTGGCTATTTTTATATACATCTTACATAAATAAGGATAAGCTCTAACAACCTAAGGATCGGGTCCCAGTTGGTTTCAAGCTGTTGAAAAGTCTCAAGTTAGGCTGACAAAACAGCTGTCCAGCACTCCAGCGCTGGTTTTCCAATGGTTGTCTAACCGATTTCAGTTCACGATGAAATCTTGGAACTGACCTGTAACTGTCATAAGTGCATAATGATTGTTGTTGCTGTTGTATTCCTTGACGTTCCCAGTGGAATATAGTGCTTCAAGCTAGAGGCTTGAAGTTTCGGTAGCAGCGGTATTTATTTTTATGAGATGAAGTCGCTAGTCTCATGCCCAGCCTCCCTCTTTACCAGTCTTGATACTCTGGCTTAGCTCGGTAAAGGAGAGCGTCGGCCGGGAGGATGGTACCCCGAACCACATGAGGCGTGGTTGACAAGCATTTTACCTCTGTGCCACCGACGCACACCACAATAATTGAGAATTTCCCAAAATGTGGCTTAATGTAATCCAAATGCTTCTGGAATCCAAGATCCTGCTCCTTGGGGTACTCTCTGTCTGTTGCTTTGTTTTAGAGGTGTGATGCGAAGCATAACTCGTTGACTTAAGGAAGTGGTCAACTTCCAAATAGTAGGTCCTTGAGGGTTAGAGCTTCTCACTCCCCGACTACCTCAGCTTTTGTAAAGCCGAGTAGTGCCATCAGCCCTCACAACCACCACCTCCGCACCGCGTAGTACATGAAATATGCGTTTCGAATACCTAAGTTCTGTCTTGGTTTCAGGATTTTCATGCTTTATGCAGAAAGAGAACAATGTAATTGTTAACCTTTTCCTTTCGGTCTCTGTAGTATGTGTGTACCTAAAAGTCACAGTAATTCCAACCAAGAGAAAAAAGTCATCAATAAGCTTGTACAAGGTATTTTTGGTGGTTCAAGAACTGTGATAATATACTATGTGAAAAAAGCTTTAACTGCACTCATTTTTGGTGAGAAAATATGCACTAGACAAAAAAAGAACATGATTCAAGCTTTTTTCCCACTACCACCATCCCTCCTGTTTACATCCAGACACAAGAGTAGCGTTCTAAAAAACCATAGTTAAGTACACACCAACTAACAATAGACACCATCAATCAGGATATATTATATAGTTCAATCTTGTAATGTACTCTACACCCTATCATGATTGTATACTAGACAGTAAATAACGTCATGCATCTAGTTCATGGTCTGTTAATGAAGACTGAATTCTATCAGTCAAGTTTGCCTCCAAGCATCTAACATACTATTCAAAGTGCACTATGATGGCGAACCACACCTAGCAACGTGGTGGTGATGGTTACACTGCAAACTTGACAGATACAATTCAGTCTTCACTATTTGCACCAAGGACAACAACATGCATGACACTCGTTAATTACTACTTAATGTTCAATCACATTGTGTATTATTAGAGTCCTACAGGAGGTCAATCGCTAGTCTGCATAGCGGGCTTAAGGCGAGCTGTCATCTGAGGTGGTGACGACTAGTGGTGTCCGTCAAGGATGCCCATTATCCCCATTTCTATTCAACTTCATCATAGATGTACTAATGGACTTAACCCTAACTCACTTCAGAGACTCAGGGATTGACTTGCTACCGGGAATAATCTCGTTGACTTAGAATATGCAGACGATATAGTCCTTCTAGTTGAAGACGCTGACAAAATGCAGTCTCCTAAACACCTTGAGCTGTAATCTACGAATGTTTGGCATGCGATTCGCTCCCTCCAAATGCAAGATGATGTAACAGGACTGGACTACAGCGACTCCTAGATTAGAAATAGGAAGTGAAGTGGTAGAGCGCGTTGACCGCTTCACTTGGGAAGTACCATCAGCCAACGCCAACGGGTTGATCTACGACGAAATCTAAGCACGAATACAGAGGGCTAGTTTCGCATTGGCCAGTTTACGCCGTCTCTGGCGTAGACGCGATATCCGGCTATCGACTAAAGCACGTGCGTACTGCTCAGCAGTCCGCTCCGTCCTCTTTCATGGCTATCAGTGAGACCTGGCCTTTGACAATGGAGGACATGTAAAATTAGCTGTCTTTGATCATAGGTGCCTGGGTTCTCTCCCACGTGATGTAGTGGTATAATGAGGTGAGCAATATTGAGGTTAGGCGTTGAGTTCTAGGTAAGGAGGGGAAATCAATCAGCGAAACTGTGAAGCAGTTGCATTGATTGAGATGGTTAGGATATGTGTTACGTACGCCTAGTCATCGCCTTCCTCGACGGGCCATGTTAGCTGATATAGGGTCAGGCTGGAAAAGAGCTAGCGGAGGTCAAAGCAAAACATGGATTCATCAACCAATAAAATCCACAACAGTTAGTTTAATACACGTAGGAAGGTGTAGAATTCCTGGTTGGGGTCCACGGGACGGTAAAAACCAATGGTTGGAAACAATTGGTGACACGACTCAAAATCGGTCTCAATGACAGCGCATATGCATCCACTCCTTGTGACTTATGATTTCCAATGGAACTGTTCTGTTCTTCGTTATTACTATTCCTTTGTCTCACACCTCTGTTTACTGTCTCTAATATACATTTCTTCTACTTTGTTTTCGTGCTTTGTGTGCTACATGGAGTGTGGCGGCTTGAACGGCCGCACATAGGTGCATATTTCTTTGTCGAAAACAGGCAGACAGTCCGCATAGCTCTTTGGGGTTGGTAACATCTCTGACTGTCTAGCACTGTGTGATCTGGATTTTAATCCCCGAGGGAACATGAGTTCCTTGTAGATAACAGATACGCCTTGCTGAATTTCTGATTGCCAACAAGCACAAAACCTGAACCAAAGGCTTCCTACTGATTGTTTGCAACCATCTAACAATAATACTGTGTACCGTATTCTCTGGGATTAAACAAGGCAGAAGAGTTGTGGAGGTATTTGGCCATATAACATACACAGTATAAATTGTGTAACCTAATCATCACTCACTGCAAGCCAAATTGTGAAGTACCAGTGATATCAGTTGCATGAGAATAGCAAAACATCAACGTGTGTGTGTGTGTATTT